CTTAATGGAATTTAAACTCCTTTTTCCTTTCCCCCTCTTTTGTTCAGTCCCTTGCATCTGTTTCCAATCTTCCTGCTTTTGGTGGGGACAGGGGGGGTGCTTTTTCCATACTCTTCCCCCATCTCTTTCCTCTCTCTGTAAGCAAAAACAGCTTCCTGCCCTACCCTGGCTTCTCTCTCCCCCAGTTCACCTCTCCACGCCGTGTACCTGCCAAATTCTGTGGTTCAGATTGTGCAGATTGTTGTGTTAATCCTCAGTTCAGTTTTCTAGGTATGCAAGATGATTTGGTGTTGATCTGGCTGCATTTCAGGGGTGAGAGACACACAAAAATATTCCATGCTATTCCACCATCTTGGCCCCCTCTATTAATACAGTATTATTAGCTAAAGACCGTATCTTACAGATTTACTTACATTTCTTTTTAACCTAATAATCCTTTTTCTATTCCAGGATCAAATCCAGGATACATTACACTTAGTTGTCTTGTCTCCTTTGGCTCTTCTTGAAGGTTGTGTCTATTTTTAAACTAGTCACTACAACTAAGGAGATGAGATATGTTGATTGAATGGGAATGAAGTCCCACCCAAACTCCTACTGGGAATGTGGAGGGTTTTTTTTTTCCAAAGGAAACTCTGGATCCTCTTATAAGGAAGAGGGAAGATAGATGTTGGGTAGCCAAAAGCAAATGTCCTCTTTAATGTTATCACACATATGGTGATTTTATAGAAATAACAGATAAATATTTTTTATTCTAAGTAAATGAATTTAATATAAAAGTTTCTCTCATATTCTTTAAATTATTCAATGTACCTATGTTTAATACATATATCATAGATGTCATTACCCATTTCATTATTTCAGGTTTCACATTAACTCTTATATTTTCTAAGACCCCACCTGCATAGGCCCTGGAAATCCAATATGCTATTAGAAGATCATGTATTTTCTAGAATCTTCAGTGAGGTACCATGTATCTAGGAATCACTTTGGAAGTAATTGCTTGACTGCATTGTTCCTTGGACCTAGTTGCCACTATTGCCAATGGATATCTGTCCTGTTTGAAGCTGTTGAAATTTGACTGTGTAACTACTTTAGCTAATGTTGTTACCAGTAAGAAAGAGACATCTGGTAGCTGGCCCACAACTCACAGCGAGGCCTTGGTGGGTTATTGTGCATGAATAATTTCACAGAATACCAACATCAGATAAGACTGCTCCTGTGACTGATGGATCAACACGGAAACAAGGCCACTCCACTACCATGTCTGAACACAGACAAAAACATGAACGTTGTTTAAACCATAGAGAGGACCAAACACTTATCTATCCTGGCTATTACGAGTTACTGCTCTTTCTTTGCCAATTATAGCCAAGCTTCACTTGATTCCTCCTGTTATAGAGAAGATTTATTAATACTCCCAATTACTGAGTTACTCCTGCTTCCTAACAGGATCCAATCCTAAGTAAACCTTTGTTTCCCTAACCTCTCCCCCACAGCAGCTAGCATAAGCTCAAATTCTAACATGAATTCTAACACCCTCCTACTGAGATGCCCATGGTTCCCCAATGGCATTGTTTTCTTCCTTGTTGCAGTGAACAATGAACCCAACTTCTTCAGTTCTTTGAAGAAGAATTGTTCTGATGTTCTTTGGCTTTTGGACATTAACACCAGTAAAATAGAACTCTTTGTTTTCATTCTTATGAAGCAAATAAGCTAATCAAGCCCTAACTTTGAAGCCAAGATCCCAGAAGAACTATTTCAGTAGAGTCACCTATACTTTTCAAGAGTACCACTTATACTGTTTGTCACCATTACTGTTGACAGCTGATTTTTTTGGTAAAGATCATTATCTATTTACCAGGTAAAATGTTTTTTCAAGGTAAGAAAAGGTGTTAGGGGTCAAGAGGCCTCAACATGAAGTTGACTGAATCCTAAAGTGCTCTAATTTTAAAAATTCACACAGATACCCTCTCTCCCCTCCCCCCATCCCCAGACTAATTCCACTAGGGTTGTTGGGTTGGGACAGTTTGGCTATTTGTCGTATCTATTCCCAATATCCTGCTACCATTTTGTGAGTTGTTACTGATCTAATTCATTGTATATTTTTTCCTTATGCTGTATCCTCTTCTGGCACATCCTCTCCTAAAATCTAACTTTCATTAGGCCCCCAATTCTCTGTTACTTAGGTATATCTCAACCTCAATAGTGGATAGAGTTTAAATATTTTCTCTTGCAAGGCTTTGGCTTTAATGCAAATCACAGGATGCAAAAGTACGTACACATAGTTTATTCCTTCCCAGTACCCACAAACATCTAATCCTAATCCAGATTGACACGTGTGTAGAGAGATGTTGTCTAACTCCACTGACCAAAAGCATCTGGGTTCCAGCTCTACTCAGGTGCCCTCGTACTGGCTCGTATTTCACTAAGAAAAATATGTGCTACACAATGGGATTTCCTTCTCATTACTCTTTCTGATCCCCTAGGAGTCCAATATGTTGTTTATCATATTCATTGAAATTAAGCTATGAGTATATACTTGATAATATTAAGAGAAAGGTTTGCCTCCTAGAAGGACCAATCTGAAGGATGTCCACCTCCCTTGTGTCCAGGGAAAGGACCTGCCATTACCACCAAGATGGAGGCACTGGTAGAATTTAGAATGAGCTACTCATTCTACTTAAGCTACTCTTCTAGAATGGAGCTTCAAGAAGTCCAGAGGGGTAGAACAAAGGCCACAAAAAAGAAGAGGAAAGGAATCCAAGATGCTCATCTTACATGGTCTTCTGACATCTAATTTCTTGTTTGTGATAGGTTCATAGAAAAGATGTTTCTTTCTGTTCACAGACTTCCATATGTGTGCTTATAGTGCATGCATATGCATATGTATACATAATACAATATCATAGTCCTTAAGTATACCTTTGTCGATTGAAAAGTCCTTGAAAAAACAGAGTGATGTTCAAAGCACATACAAGAAAAGCTTTCTTCACTGATAATTTGGTTATGACAACCTTTCTTGAAAAGACTAGGAAGTTTTACAAACTTTTTGTGAAAGCATTTTTAAAATTTCTTCAGGTATCTCTAAAGTATATACTAGCCATATTTAACACACACAGAAGTATACATTTGTTACTCTTCCTTAATATAAAAATTGTATTAATTAACCAAATTTAAGCAGAGATTTTGGGCCTGTTTATATTTTATTACTATGACCTGTTGCGCTAATAAAATCCCTAGGAGAACCAAGTTACTTTAATGCACTGACCATAGAATCCTGTGCCTTTTCCCCTGAGTCCTCATACCATTTGAATGTCCTTAGTTTTAAAAACTTACTGCTTACCTCCACCATGAAACTCCTTTGCTGCTTTTCCTTTTTTTCTAATTCTCAAGGACAAGTTATTTGTTCATTCAAAAGTAGATAGTTGAGAGCTACTAAGTGCCAGGCGCTGTGTTAGACATGGAATGTAACCGTCAAGAATGCATTTTGTCCTCTGCTCTTCTCTATAATCAAAAGAGCTAAAATTAACTGAGAACTTAATGTGTGCCAGGTCCTATTCTAAGTACTTTATGTGTATTCTTTCTTGTAATCCTTACAACCAACTTAAGAGATAGTTTTAATTTAATCCCTATTTTACAAATATGCAGCATAGTGTAGAGAGGGTAAACAACTTGCTCAATGTAATACAATAGAGAATAAGCCCATGCTAAGCTACCTATATTATTATAGGTAAAATTCTGAAAAAATTCCCTTAGGAAAAATACCATAAGAGAGGTACAAATTAGTTTTCCTTGGAAGATGTAAAATCTCTTGTAGAGTGGATGAAATTTGTAAATGTGGATATGAGCAGAGGGATAAGATTGTAAAAAGATTTACCATTTACACATAATATTCAGAATATTGAAATACATTTTCTCAAAACAAAGTCATAATCTATTTTTAACTACTGCTGTCATCAATTAGCTTTATTTTGTATATCTAAAATTACAAAGCAGGATTATTTAAAAGACATTCTATCACCCAGGGGTGCCTGGGTGGCTTAGTCGGTTAAGCGTCCGACTTTCGCTTAGGTCATGATCTCGCGGTTCGTGGGTTCGAGCCCCGCGTCGGGCTCTGTGCTGACTGCCAGCTCAGAGCCTGGAGCCTGTTTCAGTCTGTGACTCCCTCTCTCTCTGACCCTCCCCTGCTCACGCTGTCTCTCTCTCTCTCCTAGGAATAAATAAAACATTAAAAAAAAAAAAAAGATATTCTGTCATCCAGATCTGAAGAAGTTTGAGGGACGCCATGCTTTGTTTTCTGGGATGCATGGTAGGAAACGCACAGCATCGGTACTGTCCTTATCTGCTGTCTTCGGTCTCTTCCCATTCTACACTTTCTCTGGGTGCTAAAGATAATTTTTCAAATGGATAATCATGGATAATGCACTTAGCTAAATTTAAATTTATTATAGCTATATTTAGATAATAAAACGGTTCTATTGAAAATAGGACTCATTTCTATAGAACAAAAATTTAATCTCTGTGTAATGTTGATTAGGGAATCTGGCACGCTCTTGATATGGAATTAGAATTAAATTACTTAATACTTATTGAATTGTTTTAGCTTTTCAATTTTGTCTCCCCACTTCTTTGTCCCATTTGTTTATCTCCTTGATTGGCTTGTTTGGGATTTTTCCAATCACTGCATTTTTCACAATAATATTTTTTCTAATTCCTTTAAGCTAAAATATAAACACTAAGTAGAAAAATATAAGCCTGCAAAGGGACTTTAGCAGCTTTGTTTTCTGGTTATTTACTTGTTTAGGAAATCGTTATTTAGTTTGCCGGAAAGCAATGCTGTTTATAAATAGTAGAATTACTGTTGGAATTATGATTTTCTTTAAAACTGTAACATGTAATCTTTAAGTGAAAATTTTAACATGTAAGAACATCCAGGTATTGTCATAAATAATGTTAATCTAATAAAATATGAAATTTACACATTTTAATGTTTATTTCAGGTTGGAGTATACCAATAAATATGCTGTTACTGGTCAAACAAGCCACTTCCTTACGTTGCTGTCTTCAATCAAAATGTTGACTGTTGTAGGTAACTTGTCTCCTCTTTTCACTTCAAATAGTTGAACTTTGCTGCAACATGCTGGGAACTGAATGGCTCTCAATTTAGAAGATTCGTGGTGTATAAAAAATATTCAGTACATGAAATTAAGACTCATTTCCATGTAACCATGTAAGAAACCCCCTGTGTGCATTTTGGTTCTTTATCTATAACAAATCATTTTAATTTGAGAACGCTTATGTAAATATGAATAAGTACAGTATACAAGTCTTGTGTGTTATAATACAAATTGTAAATGTTTGAGTGTATTGGCAACTGTAAGTTTTCTAGTTGAATATTGAGATAAAAGCATCCTTTATTCAGATGTTAGAGCCTTACAGATTTTTTAAGTAGGAGAGATGATACAACTTTATGTGTAGTTAGATTGGCAGATAGAGGTTGTGCCAGGCCTTGTCTCTCTCTTTTATTTTTTGAGAGAGAGAGAGAAAGAGAGAGCGAGCACATGTACCTATGCATGCATGCATGTGTGCGAGAGTAAGGGAGGAGTGGGGGAGAGGGAGGGAGAGAGAATCTTAAGTAGCCTCTGCACCCAGCACGGAGCCCATTGCAGGGCTCTATCTCACAACCATGAGATCATGACCTGAGCTGAAATAAACACTTACCCCACTGAGCCTCCCAGGTACCCCAGGCCTTGTCTTTAAAGAAATATTTTTTTCTAATTTTTTAAAACTTGAAATTAAGTCTAAGAAAACAAAGATTTTAATATATATTACGGCCTCCTTAGAAGTACTTAAAGAACCTGAAATAATTGTAAAATAGTCATCATTTTCATCAACTGAGGCTATGCTGCCATAAGAAAACAATCCCCAAATCTCAGAAGCTTGAAACAACTAAGTTTATTTCTTGGTCTTTTAACGCATCTTGCATCGGTCAGTTGTAACTCAGTTTGATGTTGTCTTCATTCTGGAGCCCATGCTAAGGGAGCAGCCTCTACCTGGAACATTGCCAGTCTCATGGTAAAAGAAAATGAAGAATGTATTGGATTCATCCAATGGCTCTTGAAGTTTCTACTTGGAGGTGGCGTATCTGGCTTCTCATATGTTATTTGCCAAATGAAATCATGTGCAAAGCCTGATGTCATGAAGAAGCACAAAATATTTTGAACAATAATAAAATATAATTGACCATACTCCACATTCTTGGTCACAAATACTCATTTCCTTCCCTTTAGCATGTAAAATATACTCATTCTGTATCCAAAGTAGACAACTCTATAGTCTCATCCAATCACACTATCAGACTCAAAATTCAAGATATTATGATAGTTTCTCTAGAAAGCATGGATATGACTCCTTTCAGGACAATGGATATATTTTTACTTAATCCAGTGGGATTGAGATTTCTCTTACATGCAGCAGAAAACATTACAAGTTATAAAAATCTAGTATATTCGTCTAAAATAAATAGAACTCTGACAAAGCAGTTTCTTCATGATGGACTACAACTGCAACAGACCGATTTTTAAGACACTCTAAAATGTAAACTGCCTCTGAAATTCTTTTCAAGTATTATTTTAAATAATAAAAGACAACTTAAAACTTTATCAGAAACAAATGGATATACTATTACCATCATGGCATCATAACTTGATGTTTTATTATTTAAAACTCAAGATATTGATTATGATGATGCAAAGATCATTCAGTAGGGAAACAATAATCTTTGGAGCAAATGGTTCTGGAACTACTGGACATCCACACGCTAAAGAATAAAATTGTATCTCTATCTCATCTTATATTCAAAAATTAACTCACAATGGATCAGAGCCAAAAATGTAATGGCTAAGACTATAAAACTTTTAGGAGAAATCGTATGTATCAATCATCATGATCTTGGATTAAGCAATAGTTGGCTAGATATATCACCAAAAATATAAGCCACACACAGAGAAAAGATAATTAGGTCATCAAATTGAAAAAAAAATCTGCTTCAAAGGACATACTCAAAAAAATGAAAAATTGGAAGAATGGGAGAAAATATTTACAAAATATTTATATGATAAAAGACTTGTATCCAGATAATAAAACACTATTACTAATCAATAATAAAAAGACACATAACCCAATTTAAAAGTGCAGAAAGGATCTGAATAAACATTTCTCCAAATAAGATATACAAATAACCAATATACATAAGAAAAGGTGTTCAATGTCCTTAGCCACTGGATAAAAATCAAATCCATGATGATATACAAGTTCCCATCCACTAAAATGGCTATGATTTTAAAAAGACAGATGTTGGTTAGGATGTGGAGAAATTGCAACCCTCATACACAGTTGATGGAAATGTAAAATGGTACAGCTACCTTAAAAAACAGTTTGGCAGTTCCTCTAGAGATTAAATATAGAGTTACCATAGGACTTAGTTTTTCCACTTACAGGTATATTCCCAAGAGAAATGAGAGTGTGTATGTGTATGTATATATACATATATATATATGTGTATGTATATATACATACACACACAAAAATTTGTATATGAAGGTTCATAGCAGTATTATAATATTCAAAAAGTGGAAACAAACTAAACAATGTTGATATATACTACAACATGGATGAACTTTAAAAACATGCTAAGTGAAAGAAGCCAGACACTAAAGACCACATATTGTGTGATTCCATTTATGTTAAATAGATAGACAAGTATGTAGAGACAAATATTAGTGATTGCCAGAAGCTGAGGATAAAGGGAAATGAGCAATGTCTGCTAATGGGCACAGGGTTTCTTTTGGTGTTGATGAAAGTATTCTGGAATTAGTTAGTGATGATGATTGTACAACTCTATGAAAATACTAAAAACCTTGGGATTATACATTTTAAAGGGATAGATCTTATGGTATATGAATTATGTATCTATAAAACAAAAAATTAAAAGCTATGTGTGCCAGCTGAAAAAATTTAATTATGTTTCTATACAATGATAATACAGAAAATAGAAAACATTATTCTATTCAAAGTACCAACAAAAAGAATTAAATACTTTTGGAATAAATTTAATATTAATAAAAGAAATATAAGCCTATAACACTGAAAATTTTAAAACTTTATTGAGAACAATTAAAGAAGATCTAAATTAATGGAAAAACATTCTGTGTTCATGGATTGTAAGATTCAGTATGGTTAAGGTGAAAATTGTCCACTACTTGAGCTATAGATTCAATGTAATCCCTGTCAGAATTTTTGGTGCCTTTTTGTATAAGTTGACAAGCAGATTCTAAAGTTTATATGGAAATGCAAAACACCTACAATTGCCAAAACAGTTTTGAAAATTGGAGGACTTTCACTTTTCAGTTTCAGAACTTACTATAAATATAGTTATCAGGACAGTGTGGCACTGACATAAGGGTAGACATACAGATGAATGGAACACAATTGAGAGTCCAGAAATAAATGTGTACATTCATAGTCAATTGATTTTTGAGAAATATGCCGAGGGCATTCATCGGGGAAAGTATAATCTTTTCAACAAATGAATTTGGGACAATTGGATACTCACATGAAAAAACATGAACTTATACTCTCATTTCATACCATACATAAAAATAATAGTCTTAAATGTAAGCCAAAACAAACAAAACTTTTAGAATAAAACATAGTAAGGAAATCTTTGAGAACTTGGGTTAGGCAAAGAGTTCTTAGCTATTTCTTTGCACAGCCTATAAAAGAAAAAAATTAACACATTGAACATCAAAATCCAAACTTTTTCATTTCAGAAGTCACCATTAAGAAAATGAAAAAGTAGGTATGCCTAGTTGGCCCAGTCGGTTAAGCAACTCTTGATTTTGCTCAGGTCATGATCTGATGGCCATGGGATTGAGCCTGTATCTGGTTCTACACTGATGTGAAGCTTCCTTGGGATTCTCTCTCCCTCTTTCTCTCTGCCTCCAATCCCTGCTCATGCCCATCTCAAAACAAATAATAAATAAACGTTAAAAAAAGGAAAATGAAAAAATAAGCAATAGATTGAGAGGAAACAATATCTGATAATGGTCTTGCACCCAGAATTTTCCAAGAACCATTAAAACTCAACAAACAACTCAATAAAAAAATGTGTTAAAGATATGAACATTTTATCAGAATATATAGGAATGGCTATTGAGCATATGAAAAGATGCTCAATAGCTTTAGTTATTAGGGAAATGGAAATTAAAACCACAATGAGATGCTATTTCTCACCCACTACACTAGCTATAGTAACTAAAAAACAAATGTTTGTGAGGATGTAGACAAATGGAACATTTATACATTGCTGGTTGGAACATAAATTCTGTAGCCATTTTTGAAAAGTTTGAAAGTTTTTCAAAAAGTAAAAACTATCATGTAAGCCAGTAGATCAACTCCTGGGTATCTACTGACGAGAAATGAAAACATAAGCCTACACCAAAACTTGCATGTGAATGTTCATAATAATATTGTTTATAATAGCCAAGAACTGAAAACAATTCAAATGTTTATTCACTATATTATATTCATATAATTGAATATTATTTCAGCAATAAAAATAATGTACTACTTACAGAGTCTACATTATAGATAAACAATGCAAAGTGAAAGGAACACATATTGTGTGATTGTGAACACATATTGTATGATCCTATTTATAGGATATGTCTAGAAAAGACAAATTTATAGAGATAGAAAGTAGATTAGTGATTGCTGGGTCTGGAAGTAGGAATCTGGATTTAGTGTAAATGGGTTTGAGGGATCTTTTTGGGGGAATCAGATTGTTCTAAAAATGATTAATGGTGAAGATTGCACCACTAAGTAAACTTGCTAAAAATGACTTAAATTGTTCCCTTGAAAAGGGTGGATTTTGTGATACATACTTTTTATAGCAGTAAAGCTGTTTTTTTCTTTAAATATCACATGGTAATGTACAAAACACAGCAAGAGGATGAGGACAGAACAATTAAAAAATGGTATCTTGGGTTTTGCTGCCAATTTAAAAGGATCACAACAATGAGATG